GTATATATTGATTTCAGAGAGGAAGGGAGAGGGAGAGAGAGATAGAACCATCAATGATGAGAGAGAATCATTGATCGGCTGCCTCCTGCACACCCCACACTGGGGATCCAGCCTGCAACCCGGGCATGTGTCCTGACCGGGAATGGAACCATGACCTCCTGGTTCATAGGTCAACATTCAACTGCTGAGCCATGTTGGCCAGGCTATATCTATCTATCTATATGTGTGTGTGTGTGTGTGTGTGTGTGTGTGTGTGTGTATTTAAATAAAAACACACCTTTTAAAAAGCTCAAATGGTATATAAAGTGGTCCAAGAGTATGGTATAAAGGGCTCTCCTTGGCCTGTGTCCCCCAGGCCCCTCCCTAGATAATCCTGTCACGTTTCTCGCGTAGCCCTAGAGCTGGTCTCTGTATGCAAGGACACATACACGCACACACACATACACCACACACACACATTTAAAACATACACGTGTGCAGCTTTTGAAATTTGAATTTACTTACTAATATACGTTGGGGCTTGATGTTTTTGTGGCTCACCCCTGTTGCTGAATAATATTCCATTGTGTAGATCTGAAACGGAGGGTCCTTATGACTTGCATTAAATTCAGTTTTATTTATTTGTTTATTTATTTTAATTACCTCTTTTTTTGTTTCTTAATCCTCACCCAAGGATATTTTCCACTGATTTTTAGAGAGAGTGGAAGGGAGGGGGAGAGACACACAGAGAGAAACATCCATGTGAGAGAGACACATTGATTGGTTGCCTCCCACACACATCCCGACCAGGGCCAGGGATCGAGCCTACAACTGAGGTGCGTGCCCTTGACCAGAATCGAACCCGGGACCCTTCAGTCTGGGAGCTGACGCTCTGTCCACTGAGCCAAACCAGCCAGGGCTTAAATTTCGTTCGAGAGACACATTGATTGGTTGCCTCCCACACACATCCCGACCAGGGCCAGGGATCGAGCCTACAACTGAGGTGCGTGCCCTTGACCAGAATCGAACCCGGGACCCTTCAGTCTGGGAGCTGACGCTCTATCCACTGAGCCAAACCAGCCAGGGCTTAAATTTCATTTTAAATCCTACCTGTAGAAATAGAGCGCTCCCTCTCTCTCTCTCTTCACAGACCTAGCCTTTCCCCCAGATAATCAGCAGCCCCGGAGGCAGTAGAAGACAGAGTCCGGACCTGAGTAATGGGCAGGCTAAAGGTCACATCTTGACCTAAATTATGCTCTAGCCTCGGAGCCCTAAGGTGGAGGGAGCCCCCGCGGGACACTGGAAAAGACGTCAGCAGGGTGCCGTGCCTCCAACTGGACATGCCGCTTGCGAAGCTAATTGGACCCTGCTCGGATGTTGTCTGAAGCTGACCACTGGGTATGCTGGTTCTGGGGCCTCTTGGGAGGGACTCTGGTGCAGGCCAAGGTCAGGCACTACCTGTGACTGGCCCTGGACAACCTGTTTGGAGGCACAAAGCGATCCACAGTGTGTGGTGCCTCTGCGGGGCCTGGGTGTGTGGGGGGAGAACCAAGCTGTGCACCAAGGCCGGCTTTTATCAGCCCGGGTCCGGGGGGAGCTCAGCAATGTCCCCGGGGACACCACGTCTAGCTGGGTGCCTGCACACCTTTGTGGGGGGGCAGGGTCTCAGGGAGTCATCAGGGGGCGGCCGGAAGGGTTTATCAGGCCCAAGCAGACCAAGACTTGGCCGTGTGAAGGGAGGGCTCTGCACCGGTGGGGTGTGCGAGGGAAAAGGGCCCCGTCCTAGAGCCACACAAGTCAGTCTGTCCCACAGTCTGCCAGGAGCCCAGGCTCAGCAGGGCGGGGCCACTGGGAGTCAGGAGAAGGGGAGGTGCCAGTCAGTCTTGGGGGAATGTGAGGGTGTGTCTTCCACTCCAGAGCCACACAACTCAGTTGCCCAGGATTCTGCCCAAACCTCAGCAGGGCAGAGCCCCCAAGACTCCAGAGGGTGGGGGGGCTGCGGGGAGTCAGAGTGTGGGGCTAGCGGATCTCCCGAGATGGGGTGGTAAGCAAGGCTTTCTCTCCATTCACTCTTACCTCTCTCCATTTCTTCTGCTAGAATTTGATAATTTTGTTTAAAAAAATGTCATTAGTACCCCCAGTACCTCTTTTCTTTCTTTTTTCCCCATTGATTTTTAGAGAGAGTGGAAGGGAGGGGGAGAGACAGAGAGAAGCATCACATTGATTGGCTGTCTCCTGCACATGCCCTGACTGGGGCCGGAGATGGAGTCTGCAACCGAGGTAGGTGCCCTTGACTGGAATGGAACCCTTTAGTTCGAGGGCTGACGCTCTAACCACTGAGCAACTGGCTATGGTTTTTTTTTTTTTCTTCCTTATTTCTAACCGCAGTACTGACCTCTGTTATATGAGAACATGCCCTGTTTACGTGGCTTTATCTAAAGTTCTGGGACTTTGTAGTTACCTTCCTCACGTTCCTTAGATAGACGATCAGTGCACAGAATGGTCCTTTTCCTTTCTTTGTCTTCCACCTACTTTTTCATCATCTTTTCTCTTGTCCATTCCAACTTGTCAGGCAAAATCCCTACAGCTGTATTCGGTACACATTTGTGCCAGGGCGTGAGTGACCGATTCCTCTGGGTTTTCTCATTGAATAGAATGTTAACTCTCAATTGTTTAGAACTGCTTCCAGTTTGGCTCAGTGGATAGAGCATTGGCCTCGGGACCAAAGGGTCCCGGGTATGATTCTGGTCAAGGGCACGTACCTTGGTTTCAGGCTCCTCCCAGACCCGGTTCCTGGTTGGGCCTCATGCAGGAGGCAATCAATTGATGTGTTTCTCTCGGTCTTTCCCTCTCTCTTCCACTCTCTCTAAAAATCAATGGAAAAATATCCCTGGGTGAGGATTAAAAAATAATAATAAATAAAACTACTTCCTGATGTAATGAGAAAGAGATGGCAAATCCTGACCTTTCTGGAATTTTATTGGGAAAGGCAGCTGGCATCCGCGGTGAGGATTATTCCATTTTCCTCCCAACAAGGGGGCTATAGTGAGTCGGCCGTGTTTGAAGGGCTCACTGTGACACCCTGAGTCACTGTCAGGTGGGTGTCCGAGTTGGAGGAGGAAGAGGCACCTCCTCTGGGCCAGGTGTGGCAGGAGGTGACCCCGGGAGGTGAGCAGTGCCAGTCCAGGGACAAGAAGAGCAGGGTCTGTGCACGAAGGTGAGGGGACTGTTTCAGGTCAGACGAAGGGCAGGGCTAAGGGCTGGTGCCTTCTCCACAGCATGCCCCTTGCATTCTGGGATACTGTGGACAGCACCCTGTCTCCTCTCTCCTTAGAGGCCTGTCCTATGGAAACAACCAGCAAATCCAGCTCAAGGCACAGGACTTGGCCCAGGTACCCATGAGACTGTCTCCACGGACACTCTAGAGCATCTATGATGAACCAGGAAGCCAAGTAAGTCATCTTTCCCCTTTGCCTCCTCTCTGTTCCTCCTGTTCACTCCTTTACTCCCCCACCCACTGCCAGGACTGCTCCCTACCCAGATTGGCCCCACTGGGCCTGTCCCCAAAACAACAAACCTACACTTAGCCACCATTCATGAGAGTGAACATCAGTGGACACAAAATCAGCAAGGGCCTAAGATAGCATCTGATCTGCCTATTTTATAGATGGTATAACTGAGGCCCAGAGAGGGAAGGGACTTGCTGAAGGTCGGTTGTGACTGTGTATCGGCCAGGATGGGCTTGTTTAATGCTGCATAACAAACAACCTACAAAGTCCCAGTGTCTTATGAGAACAAACGTTTATTTCCTGGTCCTCGTTCTTGTTGTGAATCAACTGGGACCTTTGTTCACATTGTCCTCTTTCCTGGGCCCAGTCTAAAACAGCAGCCACGACCTGGAGTACTGCCAGTCCCTGTGGGCGTCCACCTCATGGCCCAGTATGGCTGCCCAAGGCTCAGTCATCACATCATCATTCCAGCCATAGGAAGAAGCAAAGATGGATACACAACACTTCCACCTACATCCCATTGGCCAACACTTAATTTCATGGCTGCATCTAACTGCAAGGGAGGCTGGAAATAGGGTCTGTTCCAGATGACCAGGGAATATTCAGGGGTTCTGGTACTGAGGAAGAAGGGGAGAACAAATTTTGGGAGACAAGTGCTTAACTCAGACAGAGAGCATCACAAAGAGGTCCCTGGGAACATGATGAATAAAGCATTCCCAGGACACCATCTACAGGGAATGAACTAGAGTCTAGTTACTAGACCATTTCAGAGCCAGGACACAGGCACAGTTAGCTTCCCCCCAGCTGCCTTATCCCTTTGCTCACCTATCTCCCAGTTCACCTGTCCCCCCAGCTCACCTGGCCCCCAGCTCATCTGTCCCCAAGCTCACCTGGCCCTAGCTCACCTGCTCCCCAGCTCACCTGGCCCTAGCTCACCTGCACCCCCAGCTCACCTGGCCCCCCGTTCACTTGTTCCCCAGCTCATTTGTCCCACAGCTTACCTGTCCCCACAGCTCACCTGTCCCCCAGCTCATCTATCCCCCCCCAGCTCACCTGTCCCCACAGCTTACCTGTCCCCAGCTCACCTGTCCCCCAGCTCACCTGTCCCCCAGCTCACTTGTTCCCCAGCTCACCTGCCTACCCTGTCCCTGCAGGGCCAGCTCCTCATGGACCCCATTAGCTCCCGGCTGGGCACCAAGAACCAGTGGGGTTGGCTCGTGAGTCTGCTCAGCAATGACCCAGAATGGCTGAGTGCCAAGGTGAAGTTCTTCCTCCCCAACATAGACCTGGGCTCCAGGAACGAGGCCCCAGACCCCACACAGAGGGTCCTCCTACAACTCAGGGAGCTGCACACCCAAGGCCTGGCCACCTGGCAGGCCTTCATCCACTGTGTGTGCATGGAGCTGGAGGTGCCCCTGGAGCTGGAGGTGCAGCTGCTGAGCACGTGGGGCCATGGAGACGGTAAGGGTGTGCACGAGGGGTGCAGAGGGGCCCAGGGAAGACGGGGCCCCACTTGAGTCACACAATTGACTCAAGCCAGGAACAGGATTCCATGTTTCTGGACACTTCCTAGAGCAAATTCCCTACTGCCTCCACATCAGCTGGGGACCTTCCACCTTGTACCATCCCAGTTGTCCAGGGAGGCGGGATGCCAGGAGAGAAAGAATAGGTGACTCCTTGCAGCCAGGAAATGCCAAATAGCCCATAATGCCCCAGAGCTTGCTTCTTGCAACGAGGTCAGAAGCAGGCGCAGGGAGAGCCCTCTGAGCTGTACTGCTGGTTGCAGACTGAACCTGTTCAGGTCCGGGCGCATTTCTTGGGCACCTTCTGCTTTCACAGCACTGTGGGGAGATGGGGAGGACTCACGCCATGCCTCCACCACAAGGCAGCGTGCAGAAAATGCAGGGGGTTCACCATGTGCACAAACACATGCACACGCATGCATGCATGCATACACACATGTGCACATGCATACCCGGCCACGCACAAACCTATATATGCACACACATCTCTGTCCCTGGCTGCCTTCTCGGCTCATCACCAAGCTGTGCCCTCCACAGATCGCTGAGTGTAAACTTGATTTCTCCCTTGCTGGGGACTCACCCTTTGGGGTGATCCCTGAGGCAGACATCAGAGCTGGTCCCAGCACATCCCATGTGTATTATACTCTCCCCCCTCTCTCTCAGGGTTTCCCAGTCCTTCGGAAACGGGTGCAGAAAGCCAACCTGAACCTCCACTCCACCACGGTGAGGCCTGGGGTTGGGGAGCGGGAGGGGGGTGGTGAGCATGCTGGGTTCCCACGTCAAACCCAGAGGAGGCTGCTGGCTGGTCCCAGCCATTTCCCATAAACCATCCTCCTCTGCCCCTGATGCACCTGCACATGTCCCCCGCCCCTTTCCAATCTGGACGCCTTTTATTTGTTTTTCTTGCCTCATTGCTCTGGCCAGTAGTTCCAGGACTGTGTTGAATAGAGTTGGTGAAAGCGGGCATCCTTGTCTTGTTCCTGATCTTAGAGGAAAAGCTTTCGGTCTTTCACCACAGAGTATGATGTTCACAGTGGGTTCAGAACCTTTATTTCTATAGATGTGTGGACTCTTTACTTAGAGGCATGCATGGCAGTAACATCAAGCTCTGACAGGAAACATCCAACCCATCATCCCAGCTCCCCCACAAAGCCAGACTGTTTGTCCCGGTCCCTGGTCCCTCCTGGCCCTTATCACTGAGCTGCCTTCACTCAATCCCTGAGTGTGGATCCACTTGTCTGCCTGCCTCCTGTTTGTGGAATGGAGCTCCCCACAGTACTGGGTACCTACCTCCTCGGCCCCGAAACCTCACCCCTTCCGCTTTCCTTCATTTTTTCCAGGCCTCAAGCGGCCTCGTCAGAGCTGCGGGTCCTCACCCCGCCGGAAGCAGTTCAGGAGGCAGCAGCTCGGTGGGTGCCAAGGCGGGAAGGGACCTGAACACAGGGATTGGATGGCACTGGGGCCAGGGCACAGATCCTGGACTCTGTCCCCTGCCGACGAGCCTCCAGGGGCTTAGCGGCTCTTGTAGTCCAAGCTTCCACGAAAGAAGGATCGAAGGTCCTGGGTGGGCAGAGGAGAGGGCGGCATCTGGCCAGGAGGGGCCTCCCCAACAGGCCACCAGGGGGCTTCTCCAGAGATGGCTCAGCTGAAGGAGCTAGAAGCAGCCCAACAGGTTGCAGCTTTATCATTTAGCTGCTTCCAGGGACACCCCATGTCCTCAGGGTTGAGGAGCCCCAGGGAAGTGACCATCATAACCTCAGGCCTGGGTCCTCATTGGCCAGTTTAGAGGTAAACAGGATACCAGGGAGAACTCCCCAAAAGCAGAAGCCCTGAGGCACATGGGGAGGAGACATGGGGGCGCTGAGGACTGGCCAAGGGGCTAGAAGAGACCGAACTTCCCTTGTTTTCCACCAGTTGTGCAGGAGAGTCCTTGTTCCCCACCAGCTGGGAAACCCAACCCCCATGGGGTATAAAATAGACTGCTACCTCACGTCCCCCAGCCAGGGCTCCCGCTGGCCCCCAATAGTGGCCCCAGTCCTTTCCCTGGTTCCACCCCAGATTCCCCAATAACTCAGCAATTCTAAAGTTAGTACCTGGCCCTGTGGGGGGCCCAGTTCCCACAGTTCTGATTGCCCAGTGCTGGACCTATAGGTCGTTAGCACCCACCCCCCCTCCCCTGCCCTGGGCATTACAGAACTGAAATGGTGGGGAGGGGCACAGATTTCTCAGATATTGCAGGAAGAGGTTGTTCTGATAAGAAGTTGCAAAAAGAAGAAGTTGCAAAGGAAGTGCCCTCTCCCCTTTCCCCATCTTATTGAAAACTACGCCACCCATGCTGTTGCCAAACACAGAGCCATGATCCCGCTTCCGCACCTGGTTAAACAGCTGACAGAGTCTCTGCTTTGGCAGAAGCAGTTCCTTCTAGGGACTTGGGTGGCCCAAGAGCCCCTGGGTGCTCCTGCGACTCCCCCTCCCACATAACACAGCTGGGGCTGTAGGATCCCAGCAGCCGATACTGGGATGAGGTTGGGGGTGAGGGGAGGCCTCTTAGCCTCATGCCATCTCCCTGCCCCCAGCAGAACTGGCCAAGAGGTACCTACAGCGGCTGAGGACCTCGGCCCAGCAGCGTTATGGCGGCGAGCTCCCGGGGCCAGGGCAGCCCCTCGCCTTCCACCAGGCCTACGTCCCCCCAATCCTGCAGTGGAGCCGGGCCACAGCACCCTTCAGCACTCAGGAGGGGGCTGCGCCGGGGAGCCCCAGGGCAGAGGATGGCGCTGACCTGAGCCTCCAGGACCTCTTCGGCCCCAGGGCGGACAAGGGGCCGAGGGTGATGGTGCTCCTGGGGAAGGCGGGCATGGGCAAGACCACGCTGACCCGCTGGCTCTGCCAGAAGTGGGCCGACGGCCAGCTGGACCGCTTCCAGGCCCTGTTCCTGTTTGAGTTCCGCCAGCTCAACCTGCTGGCGGAGGCCCTGACGCTGCCCCAGCTCCTGTTCGACCTGTACCTGCGCCCTGAGGAGGGCCCCGACGCCGTCCTCCAGTACCTGGAGAGGAATGCCAAGGGGGTCCTGCTCATCTTCGACGGGCTGGAGGAGGCCCTCCACCCCCATCCCCGCGGGGAGACCTCGGGCCCGGAGGCGCCAGGCCCAGCCCTCGCCCTCTTCTCTGGCCTGTGCCGGGGGACCCTCCTGCCCGGCTGCAGGGTCATGGCCACCTCCCGGCCAGGGAAGCTGCCCGACTGCCTGCCCACCGAGGCGGCCACCATCCACCTGTGGGGCTTCGACGGGCCGCGGGTGGAGGAGTACGTAGGCCGCTTCTTCAGCAACCAGCCGGCCCGGGAGGCCGCCCTGGCGGAGCTGCGGGCAAACAGACACCTCCGGAGCATGTGCGCGGCGCCCGCCCTGTGCCGGATCGCCTGCCTCTGCCTCCACCACCTGCTCCCGGACCTCTCTCCGGGCCAGTCTGCGGCCCTCCTGCCCACCGTGACGCAGAACTACGTGCAGATGGTGCTCGCCCTCAGCCCCCGCGGGTACCGGCCTGCCGAGGCCCTGAGGGGCCTGGGGGAGGTGGCCCTGAGAGGCCTGGAGACTGGAAAGGTGATCTTCTCTGCAGGAGACATCCCTCCAGCCATGATGGCCTTCGGGGCTGCCCTGGGCCTGCTGACCTCCTTCTGCGTCTGCACAGGCCCCTGGCAGCAGGAGCCGGGCTATGCCTTCACCCACCTCAGCCTGCAGGAGTTTCTGGCTGCCCTGCATCTGATGGCCAGTCCCGAGGTGGACAAAGACGCACTCGCCCGCCACGTCACCCTCAATTCTCGCTGGCTGCTGCGGACCAAAGCCCGACTGGGCCTCTGGGACCACCTCCCCGCCTTCCTGGCGGGTCTGGCATCCTCCGCCTGCCGTCCCTTCCTCCGCCACCTGGCAGAGCGGGGTGAGGCGTGGGTGGGCGCCAAGCAGGCCGCAGTCATACAGGCACTGAAGAAGTTGGCCACGCGCAGGCTCACGGGGCCCAAGGTGGTAGAGCTGTGTCGCTGTGTGGGCGAGACACAGGAGCCGGAGCTGGCCAGCCTCATGGCCCGAAGCCTCCCCTGCCAGCTGCCCTTCCACAACTTCCCGCTGACCTACGCCGACCTGGCTGCTCTGACCAACGTCCTGGGGCACAGGGAGGCCCCCATCCACCTGGATTTCGAGGGCTGCCCGCTGGAGCCCCGCTGCCCTGAGGCCCTGGCAGGCTGTGGGCGGGTGGAGAGTCTCAGGTGAGGAAGGGTAGTGCAGGGACCTGGACTTCGGGGCGAGTGGAGGCAACCCACCTGGCAGACCCCCGCTGTGGGAGACTGGGTAGGACTCGTGGGTGCCAGGGAGGACGGGCCCTTCCTGTCCCTTAGCCTGTGACGTAGCCAGGGGCACCGTGCCTCACCAGGACCTGTGGGGTCCATTGGGTCTCCTCTTGTCATGGGATCTGGATGGTCAGTCTCCCTCTCTCAGTCATGGGCTGGAGCCGCTGATCCGGGCTGTGCTGCTCGAGGCTCTTTGACTTCAGTGTTACTTAACCTCTCAGCCTGCGTTTCCTCATCCCTCAAGTGAATCAGTAATAAAACCTACCTCATAGGGTTGTTGTGAGGTGAGAGAATGCATGAAAAACACTTAGCACAGCTCCTGGCACACAGGAAAGGCTCAGTATGTGTAGCAGCCAGAGAAAAGGCTCAGCTGCAGGAACAAAGAACCCCTCACCCCACCCTTCCCAAAATAGAGTGGATTCAATGCTGTAGCATTTTCTTTCTCTCTCCGGGAAGACTCAGAGTCAGGGTCCGTGGGATTGCTCAGCTCCACATGGTCACACAGGGACCTGGTTCCTCCCATTCTTGCTCATTGTCTCCTTGGGCATGTGGATCTGCAGGGTCAAAGCTGAGACAGGGGCCTAGCTGTGCTCTGGCTTGGGGGAAGGAAAAGATTAGATACACTCGGTGTGGTAAAGCTCATTCCTGGAAATAGGGCACATCTCTCCAGGTACATCCCAGTGGTGAGAACATACTAGTAGTCATATGGCCACACTGAGCTGCAAGGGAGGCTAGGAAATGCCGCCTCCGGCTGAGAAACCATCTTCCCAGGTATAGCTCCATGCACGGAGGATGGGTTTCCATGGACAGTTAGCAGACTCTGCCATGATATGTATTTGTTACTACTACAACCATTACAACAACAGCAATAACAATTACTACATTTTTTCCCCCAACCATTACAACAACAGCAATAACAATTACTACATTTTCCCCCTGCTAATCCTCACCTGAGGATATTTTTCCATTGGTTTTTAGGGAGAGGAGAAGAGAGAGGGAAAGACAGAGAGAAACATCAATGTGAGAGAAACACATCGATTGGTTGCCTCCTGCATGAGCCCTGACCAGGGCCTGGGCCAGGGAGGAGCCTACAACCGAGGTATGTGCACTTGACCAGAATCAAACCGGGGACCCTGCGGTCCACAGGCCAATGCTCTATCCACTGAGCCAAACTGGCTCGGGCAACAACTACTATTAACGTTACTGTATTCATTCGGTTCCTTCTGTCGGAGGAGGGGTGGGCATGATCTCTAAGCCCCACCCAGCATTGATTATCTGCCACCTTGCCTCCCCCTGTGGCAGCTTTAAGAGCAGGAAGTGTGGGGACGCCTTTGCAGAAGCCCTCTCCAGGAGCTTGCCGACAATGGGGAGCCTGAAGAAGCTGGGGTGAGCCAGGACTTGGAATGGAGAGGGGTCCTCCGCTGGGGATGCCAGAACTCTCCTCCCTTCCCTCAACCCTACGCAGGGCAGATCGGGGTTACCCCCCTCCTATCCCCCCTTCTCCCATCCATCTTTGCTTACCCTGTAGGTTAGCAGGAAGTAAGATCACTGCCCGAGGCATCTACCACCTGGTGCAGGCTTTGCCCCTCTGTCCACACCTGGAAGAGGTCAGGTGAGTGATCTCCAGGAGGGTCCACCGGCCGAGGGAAGAGGTCACACCCAGGGCTTGCATGTTCAGTGGGCCCTGGCTGGTAGTTTTTCAGTGTGGCTCAGAGAGGGGAGGCACTAGTCTAATAGCTGGGTGGGGCTGGATCCAAACTCAAGGCTCCTAAAGACCCAGATAAGTGCTTCTCTCATCCAATATTTTGGGCCATTTTGAAGGAGGTTGAGTTTTGAGGCTCCCTTTCCTCTTTCTGTGACCCTGAGAGGGGGGTGGCAGTATGTAGGCTGGTGTTGGGCACTGTGGGTTCCCATAAATGCACGAATCATACACACACCTTCACATTCATGCACAAATGCATGAAACATACACACACGTGCACTTGTCTGCTCACTTAAGTACATGCCCCACATGCATGCACATTCAAAGGTGTACATATGTGCAGCGCACACACACGTGCACACTTAGATCCACATACATACTCCTACCTGTGTCTGTGATGAGTGGCTGGAGAAGGGTGGGGCCAGGGTGCCTCCTCAGCAGCTCATGGGCGGACCCACAAAGGTGCTAGCTGGCACCTTTGTGAGCTTTAGAAAAGGCAGCCCTTCATCCCTAGGTGCAGCCTAGCACTAGGGTGCGCCTCTTGCGTAATGGAGCATTAGCTGGGCCACAGCTCCGCTCTGTCCCCCCTGCTGGGTGTCTCCATGCATGCTCACTGTGCCCGATGGAAGAAAAGATCAAGGTCACCCTCAATAATTAGAGAAGAAAATGTCAACAAGTTCAGCATTTCCAAACATGTTTCCTGACCAGAGCGGTCACACACAAAGGCACCGCGAACTCTTCAGTTCTTCTGTCCCTCCAGCTAGGAACCCAGGCAGGACTGGGCTGTGGGTCCCATTTGATGGGTGAGGAATATGAAGTCAGAGAGGAAGGTGCTTGGCCTAGGGCTCTGGTGAGTCAGAGCCAGAGCTGAGGCTGGAAGCGGCATTTCCTGCATCCCAGCCTAGGCCACTCATCTGGGAGGCAAGAGGCCCTGATGAACTTGAGCCTTAGGCACATCCCAGACATTTTCCTGAGAGCAGGGTGCTGGGTCTCCTCATCCCACCTCACGAAGCCTTCATAGTCCACCCGCTGGGTCCCTTGGGCCACCAGAGGGACTGAATGAGGACAGTATCGAGGCCAGCAGAGGGCCTTGCCTCCTCGCTGGACCTATTGAACACCATGGAGCAGGCCACCAACTCCTTCTGGGACCCTGTGTTGTGTCTCCCCCATGAGGGTGGCCATGCCCGTCCCTTGCCAACTGGAGCTTCTAAGGGTCCCCACCCAGGGCTGAGGGACTTGGTCTCCCTTGTAGCTTTCAGGACAACCAGCTCAAGAACCAGGAGTTGCTGAGCATCGTGAAGGTCCTCCCTTGCCTGCCGACGCTCCGGAAGCTTGAGTAAGCGTCCTTTCCACCTGCCTGAGTCGCCCTCCGACATTAGAGAGCAAAGGTCTGGGGCCCATGAGATGGGGGATTCACTCCTGACACCTTTGCCTCAATCATGCAGCCTGAGCCACAACAATGTCTCCATGGCGACCCTGCTGGGCTTGACCGAGGTGGCAGTCACGTGCCCGACTATCAGGATGCTGCAAGTCAGGTGAGCAGAAGGCGTGGGAGCCTGGCCTTCAGGGTCTTGAGAAAAGAGGAGGGGCTAGGAAAAAGAGGAAGCCCTAGTGTGCAAGACGTCCATGCTTGAGTCTGTTTTACTCACATCGGTGTGTCCAGAGCCTAGCTCGGGCCTGGTACCTGGTACTCAACAAGTCGTGAATGAATGGAAAGATGGATGGACAGACCAACAGAGGGATGAAGGGGGGGAAAAAAATCTAGGAAGTATAGGCATAGCTCGGAATGAGGCGCCCCGTGTCGCTCTCCATGGTGCTGAACCAGCGCTGCCTATTGGATCAAGGGCAGATTAAGTGTTATCTATGCCTCTCAATCCTAAAACACAGGAACTCCTATAAAATCTGTGCGTTCCTGATTTCTATTATCTCTCTCGTAAAAGTTGTTTTCCTGGCTTTTTGAAACACTGGATTCGTCAAGCAAGGGCATCGTCACCCTTTTACATGTCTGATTTGGAGCACCTTAGCCGGTTTTGTGATTGTCAGTCACAAAGTCCGCTTCCTCTGGCGGTTTGGGACAGCATGGGGTGCGCAGGGAGGGGGTGAGGTGCTGGTTTCCAGCCCACGGGTTTCATGGCTTGGTGTCTGGCCCTGCAGGGAGGCGGACCTCATCATCCTTCTCTCCCCGCCCACAGAGACAGCTGCGGAGCAACCTGGGTAAGAAGTTAGGGAGGGGGCTGGTCTGGGCTCAGGCAGTTGTGGGGAAAGGTGGCCAAGGGAGCTGAGGGAGAGCTGGGATGTGGGGATCCTTCTTGCTGCTGCTGCTGCCCTGAGAAGTGACTGATTTCTCAGAGTGGGCAAAAGACTTCCGCTCCCAGAGTGAGCCAGCCCCTTGGGGTGGGGGTGGGGGAGGCGTGAAGAGACTGTCAGAGGGCGTTACTACTCGTTACTACGTGGGGGAAAGTCTCTAACTGCAAAAAAAAAAAAAAAAAAAAAAATCCTAACTTCAAAAAACAATAAATCCTAACTTGTTCTTGCCTTGTCCTCAGGCAGCAGGAGGCTCTGCACAGGCAAGCTCGTGACTCGTCTGATCACACCCGAGACTGAGAGGAGGAGTTGAGAGACAGAGAGAAGGAGAAAAAAAAAAAAAAAAAAAAACAAGGGAGGGGAAGGCAATTATGGTGCCTGCATCTTACAGTTGTCCTGAGCATTAAACAAATTAATACATTAATGCTTAGAACCCTGCTGGCAGCCAGCTGGCACTCAAGTGCTGGCTCTTCCGCTGTGCATGGATTCCAGCTTGGCCAGTCCTGTTTGGCCAAAGGAAGGGAAGTTGCCTTTCCGTGAAAGAGCATTCCGAAGGTGCTTCCCCACACCACTCCCAGCTGAGACTCCGAAACAGATGACGTTGTGTGTCCCCGAGCAAGTCCTTCCCCGGCTCTGAGCCTCACGTCCCCCACCCATACAGTGACTCAGTAGGACCACTATCCTTCTCCCCCCCACCCCACCCCACCCCCGACTGTCCAGAGAGGTGGTACCCAATACGGTAGCCACTAGCCACATGTGACGATTTAAACTTACATGAGTTAAAATGAAGTAAAATGGGCATTTCATGTCATCAGTCACATCAGCCACATTTCAGGGGCTCGTTGGCCATAGGAGGGGGCCCCCACACTTGGGGGGCCCAGATACAAAACCTTTCCATCATCCCGGGTAGTTCTGTGGATGGCACTGATCTCCAAGTCAGTGTAAACGGGGCTCACACTGTCCCAGCTTCTCTCCAGCCCCAGCCCTCCCCTGGCCCAGTGAGAGGGAACCTGGAGGTGCCGTGGCTTCCCACAGCCTGACTCACGTATGGCCCGTGTTCCTGGCCTTCTGAACCGCGGACGGTACATCTACACGTGGAGACCATGGCCCCTTACACAACAGTGGCTGTTTTTTGTTGAGCTTCACTTTTGTGCCTGTGGTCACCCCGTTCAGTCCTTCCATCACTCTATATGCCAGGCATTGTCATTTCATGTCAGAAAAGAGAAAATGGAGGCTCCGAGGGGTGAAGTGACTTGCCCAAGGCCGCACAGCTCTCTATGGCAGAGTCAGCATTTGCATAAAGGTTCCATTTGACTCCAAACCGTCTGCTCCTGCTGCTTCGCTGCATAGTGCTGTGAGCACCTCCAAGCAGCCGGCTTTGTTGCTCATTCACTGTGGGTCGTGCTAAGGAGGCTTCAGTCCCTAGAAGCCAAGAGCAGAGCCTGAGCTCCCCAGCCCAGGCCAATGTTGGACTTGTTCTTGCCAGATCCCCAGCCCTACGGGGAAACGCCGGCCAGAAAGAGGCTCAGAGCAGAAGCTTGGCCCTCAGGTACCTCGATGGGATCCAGGGCCTTCAGAGGAGGGGTGTGATATGGGTGGAGGGTGCCTTCCCAGGGGAGGCGCAGCAGGGGGGTGAGGAGGGGAAAGGGGAAAGCAGACCTGGGGCAGGGAGAAGATCTGAATAAACCGTCCCAGCCTGAACAAGGAGCATCTGGCACAACAACAGTAACAGTAACTGTCATTTAATGGGCCCTCGCTGTGTGCTGGGCACGGTGTTATTTTATATCCATCACCTCGTTGTTATGCTTTTGCAAATTCTGTAACGTCCACATTATTGTTCCCATTTGACAGAGGGGAACATTGAGTCTCAGATAGCTTAAGTGCCTTGTCCAAGATTACCCAGCGACTGAGAAGCAGGGCCAGGATTCAACACCAGGTCTGTCAGCCTCCTGGCTCCCCCAGGTCCCATGCCTCGCGGCGGGGCCAGGAGCTGGAGGAGGCATTGTGCAGCTTCTTGCCCTGAGCCCCTCTGCCCCCTGCGCCACCCCAGGCTGCAGAAGTGTTTGCTAACCGTCAGGGATGTGGAGATGCTCATAGCCCAGCTCCGGGAAGGCCCCCTCCTGGAGGAAGTAGAGTGAGTATCATGGGGCGCTCTGGGGCAGAAGACGGGAGGGCAGGGCAGGGCAGGGCAGGGTAGGCCTCCGTTTGGGGTGGACAGTGTGGGGAAGATGCCTCCTTAAGGATCTGGGGGAAGCTATTATAACAGCTACCGCTTCCACCTGGCCACCTCCACCTGTCAGGGTGTGACCTGTGTGTCACTCATGCCTGTCCCCTTCGCTCCTTCCCGCTGCTCAGGATGAAGCCTGAATCCTAAAACCTCTTGTGATCCAGAACCCTGCTCCCAACCTCCAAACCCCATCTGATCCTGCCCTCTGCTCGGTCTTCTATCCAGACACACAGGCTCCCTTTCCGGTCCTCAAATGTGCCTTGGTGTGCTGCTCCTCTGGCCCCATCTCTCTCCCGCCCCTTGCCGATTGCACTAGTTTTGCTAGCCCGCAGCTCAAACATCAGGGAAGCCTTCCCTGACCCCAGACCAGGTCATATGCCCCCATCATCATGAAGTTGGTCACAAGAAGCAATTGTGCAGGTTGTGGCATAAATTAATGGTTGAGGGCGGGGCCATGAAGTCAGGCTGCCTGGGTTCAAACCCCAGGTCCGCCTTTGAGCAACTGCCCTAACTAGTCTGAACCTCAGCGTACTCATCAGTAAGATGAGGGTAACAATAGCGCCTATGTCCTAGGGTGGTTAGGGGGAGTGAAAATGCCATCATTGCAAATGCCCCTAGGACAGTGCCTGGCAGGTCGTACACAGTCTTTTACACTCATTATTATGAAGGATCACTTACCAGAATGATGCTTTGCTGGAAGTCAATGAGGGGGAGCGTGCATGTGGAGGGCTGGGGAGGGACCCCCCAGCAGCACAGGCAGCGGGCCCCTCTGTCTCAGCCTCTCAGGGAACCAGCTGGAGGACGAAGGCTGTCGACTGGTGGCAGAGGCTGCCCCCCAGCTGCGCATCGCCAGGAAGCTGGAGTGAGTGCCCACCCCACTGTTGGGTAACAGGGCCCCGAGAGTCCCAGCGGGTCCCTGCGACCCCTGATCCCCATGCCTATCATCGCCGAGGGAGCTGCTCCCCACCGCCCCCC